AGTCATACTGAACTTTTCCATTATAAAAGCAAAATAATAGTGATGATAAGTAGAAAAATAACTTTAACTCCTGAAATCCAATCCTAACAGTACTGGGATATGATGGATAGAAAAACAGGTGTAGGTAATTAGTATCACTAAGCGGGGTCATGTTAAAATCACCCTGCCTCCTCTAGAGACATACTGTATATCCTGTTGCAATAGCACTTAAGATGATGTTTCCACAAATATGTACTCACTTATATTCTGTTTACATAAATATGTATGAAAGTTGTCATGTTTTTGATTTACCACACCAAAAGTGAGGTTGAAGAAAATTCTAGTTCATCTTTAGTTTTTGCCCATTGAAACTAAAGGCGTTATAACTGACATTTTTACTGCAGACAATGTGACATGTCATAGTAGGAAAGAAGACATCATTCTGTTTGATGTCACCATTAACCATGTCAATGAGCAGACAGAACCCTGGAGCTGGAACACCCCTACAGCAAATCAAATGCATTAATTACACCTACCTACTTAGCACAGTCTTCTGTGAAAAAGGTCTATTATCCCCGTGTTTTATAGCATTACATTCATTTGACAGACTAAAGTTTAATTAGACAGTAGTCATTCACATTAAACAACCAGGAAAAGGGTATTAGTAGTATTTTATATTATTATTATTAAAACAATCTTTTGAAAAGTCTGGAAACTGTGACATGCCAGATTATATTTATTTGTATGTCTTGAAGTGATTATTTGCACAGGTTGAATAATTAACTGAGGGAACTGAATAAACAAACAAACAAACAAAAAAGGACCACTGAGTCATCTGGCCCCACTGTTCTCCCAACAGTTAGGTAAGGCTTGAGACAACACCGTCCTCAGAGCATTATAAGATAAATTAATCTCAATATGGAGAAAACATGCTGTTTCCAATGTTTAAAAGTTGTAAATATAGCAGGTAATCCTCAGACGGAGCCCTGCTGTAAATCAACTAGTCATACTGTAACATTACATCCAGAGACGCAAACATGAACTGCTGAAGGCTAATTTGCTATCTAGCTGGTGTAACATCTGACATTTGAGTTTTAGAACACAGTGATGTCTTTAACTGTGTGCAATTATTCAGTCCAGGCAACACACACACACACAAACAGTGGCAACAGAAACTGCAAGTACAGGAGGAAATGGAAGTTCAAATAGAGGTTTATGACGTATATGTATAGTCCAAATAAAAGCCTACAGACATGAGTCAAAGTCCACGGCTACCAAGATTGATAGACAACTTGGCAGAGGACAGTGGAAAGCTGGCCAATGTAAATAGAGAGAACTGTGATATTGGACGAGGAACAGGCGAGCAGAGCAGAGTCAGGTGATCATAAACAGGAAAAAAGTTGAGGGATCTCTGGTGGTCAAAGGGGAAACAACAGGAGTGGTGACAAAAACAAAGCCTAATCCAAGCTCAGAATGCACAAATAACTACATCCACAGAAACCGATCACACGTGTAAAGACTTTCACTAATAATCTGCCCTTATACAGGTCAAAGCCAGAGGACAGGATCATATCATGACAAAATATAAGGCTGATCATCCACACGTGTAAAGACTTTCATTGATAATCTGCCCTTACACAGGTTAAAGCTAGAGGACACAATCCTATCATGACAAAATATAAGGCTGATCATCAACACAGAGTTTAACACCTGGAACTCACACACCACTCTCACTTTCTCTCTTTGCTGTGTATACTGGCTTTTTTTTTTTTTTTTAATCTTCCTGCTCTAAGTCTTAGAGCTGGTTGGGCCACTTCATAGGCTATATCTCACTTATAGATCTGCAGTGATGGTTGACTGTTAAAAATAAAATATGTAATAGATGCAGCTGATGTATTCCAAGGTTTCTGAAAGTGCATTAAGCTGAATGGATGGATGAATAAAAAAAACAAACACTTTTTATTCTGGGCCCAGGAAAAAAAAATTTCAGTAGACCTCATTCTGTGAAATATTTCATAACATACAACAAATCTGCTCCAATTATAAGATCTATAATTCATAAACAGTGGCACATTCTTAGTACTGTGAATATGGTTTTTGAACACCCACCATTATTTATTCATAAGAGAGCAGCAGATTTAAAAGCTTTTCCAGTGAATACAGATGTATACAGACAAAACAACATATTCATTAAGAGAAGTTTTCCATGTAGATCTTGTTCATCATTCAAGAATATGAGTTGAACTGATAAAATTCAACACCCCCATAATGAGAAACAATAAAATCAAGTCACTGATAATGTGCAATACAGATAATGTGATGTATCTTTTGTTTTGCTCTTTCAAAAAATACTATGAAAGAAAGACCTCATGTATGCTGAAAACAAGAATTAGTGAACACCAGAGTTGTATAAGAAGAAAAGACATTACTTCACCAGTAGCAAGACACTTCATGGAGTTTGGACATCAAATTGAAGATCTGAAATATATTGGCACTGAAAAGGTTCAAAGGAATCACTCAGATGGAAACACTGAGAAATCATTACTAAAAAGGGAATATTTCTGGAAATATACCCTTAAAACTCTAGATATACTCCAATTAGTATGTAATTATTTTAGAATGACAAAACCAGAGAGCCTCTTCCTAAAAATGAGAGGATAGATCATGACTGGCAATTCCTGTTGCTAGTGTTGTGTTGCAAGTGGACAGCGTAACGAACTGCAATGGCATTAATTAATATGACTTTCTCCTCCATAGATAGGTAAACAATGGTATATGTACTGATGAAAAGAGATGTGTAACACTCTAAACAAAGCAGGTAATTGAGAAACTCCATATTTTAACTGGCATAATGCAGACATAGTAACTTCTCCAGCCTTACAACAGTTCTCTCTAATGTTTCAGAAACAACACGTTAACAGACATACAATGTAAGTTTTTTGAACAGGCTATCTGACTTTCAGTATGACCTGAATGGAATTTGCTTCAGTAGCATCTATGCACTGCTCACATCTTGCTTTCAGTGTGAATTCCTATAGGTAAGGTCTAGACTTGACTTTGTAAAGTGTCCTGAGATGACCTTTGTTGTGATTTGGCGCTATACAAATAAAATTGAATTGAAATATTTCTAAAGCTTGTGGTGTCAGTGGAACTTGCCAATAACATTTTAACAGGTCAACTTTTGCGACATACTCGGCAAAGCCTACTCTGTCTATGCAACCCTCCATCCTGGGCAGTGACTTCTCTATAAGCAGTGTAAAGACGAGGAGTGTTGTCTGGCTTTGGAACTATAATGCACAGGGAACCCCAAGTACTGTGACTAGTTACAGCCAAACCATGTTCTATGAGATCATTTACTTCTTGCTCCATCAACATCCTTTTAGTAGGATTAATCCTTTATGCATGATGTTTGATAGGATTGTGACCTTCCACATCTGTATCATGGAACAAAGCAGATGTTTGAGAAGGATGATCTGAAAAAAGCAACAAGTTGTCCTCTGTTAATGTCAGCACAACCAGAGTCAAACAAATATGAACAGATCATTTAAAATATCTGAGTTTCTCAAAAGAGCCACTGGTAAAGACCCACAGTTGTTTAACATCAGACTAGAGCTCATAATAAATGTTAAGTTTCGCTGGTGGAAAGTGAGGAAATTGAGCTCTGCCTCCCCTCCAAGCGTAGCCATCTTTCTCCTTTAAAAACCCTGGCTCCAAATGGCCAATGGATGTCGAGCTGAAAAACAGGTCTATTTGCATGCAATTACATACAAACAGTTATCTCTCTCTCTCTCTCTCTCTCACACACACACACACACACACACACACACACACACACACACCAAGGGAAGAACAAATAACTAGGCAGATCATTTATAATTTTATCCAGACAAATTTTTTTAAAACCACATCCAAGCTTAAAAACGTTTGCAATATTTAAACTTGGATTTCTGGTGTTTTCAGTCATTTTTTCACATAAAATTAGTAAATATAAATCAAAACAGGTGGATGGAAAGTTTTTGTGCATTAATATTAAGATAACAACCTCTCTGAAGTGAATGTTGGTTGGACAAAACAAAATTGTTGAAGACATGACTTTAGGCTCTGAGAATTTGTTATTAGCAGAGTAAGCGGTAAAGAAAGTGTTGCTGCTGGTGTACATCTTCATTGCTGCATCCAGGAACTACCCACTTAGACCTGTTGTCAGCAGTTTGTACCAGAATGCGTCACTCCAGACTGTGTCAAATACCTCACTGTAATCAGTTTTACAAGAGACTTCTCTTTTTCGTTATAACGTGGGGCACTTATTGAGGTTTCACATGCACAATCTCAAAGCATAGAAAACTGCAACTATTAACACAGGAAGAAGAGAGAAATAATAGAATTCATTGGGCCAGCCTGTTTCAATAGGTGATGTGCTTCATAATTACCATGACCATACATGGTTTGCTACATTGTGCTGACTCAGTCCCACACGCACCATCATGTTGTGCTGTGAGTACAAGGCCACTAAATTTGCCAAAGAAAATAGTCCCAATAAATACATTGTTTCTTGTTTCCATCTGTAAAAATGTTTGTTCACCTTATTGTTTGTACAAACCAACAGTTTTAGGAAACTGTGTGTGTCTGTGTGTGTGTGTGTGTAGTGGATCTGTTCCAACTGAAAGGTTTGCCAACACTTTACTAGATTCTGTTCCTTTTACCATTGTACCATAAATGCAGGACGATGCCAAATATTATGTGAATAAACTTGTCCCAGTCCTGCTGGTTGTTATGGATGAAGCAATCCCAGGACATTACGGCTTTGGCAACTATGCTAAACTAACAAACTTAACAGAACACCAGGGTTAAGCTGAGACTAAAACTGGGCAACAAACAGAGCCAGAAATTAAATGGAAGTAGAAAGTAGGTGTGGTGAATTTAAGAACAGATAGTACTTTGCTGTGTCATGATTACTTGCAGCAAAGTAACACCAACACTTCACTTCACTGACCCAAAGGCAGACCTCCAGGGACATGACACAGAAAGCGTGGGGGTGGGAGGGACTACAGACAGCCAAACTCAGGATGAAAGAGCAATACTGACACGAGTACACACACAAAAAGAGGAACAAGAGAATAAAGTTTGGTGGAAATGGAGAGGTAAGGGGCAGGCACTAAAGGCTGTACACTGAGAGATTAGCAAGTGGGCCATGAATGACAATGAGAGAGAGAGAGAAAGAGAGAGACAGGGCAAGAGTGAGGACTGTGTGTGAAGCTATCGTTACTCCCTGGAATCTGGTTTAACTCCCAGTTTTTTTTACTTTGCCTACACAAGAGGGACAGATCCCCGGGGAAACACAAAGTCCACTGAACAAAAAGAGAAACTGTGTATTTGTGTTAGGCGGTCTTTAAAAACATGACCAAAACATCTACACCTACTCAAAAAGATGGAAGAGTTGGCGCAAATAGACACAGAGTTTCTCAGATTGGAACCGAGTCAAATTCCAGTGGGGAATTACGGGACAGGGACAACAAGAAAGTGGGACTGGGGAAAAAGATAACCCTGCTTCGAGGGATCTCCATCATCACTGGGACCATCATTGGAGCTGGGATATTCATCTCTCCAAAGGGCATCCTGAAGAACTCAGGCAGCATAGGAATGTCCCTGATAGTGTGGCTCGCCTGCGGTGTTCTGTCACTCTTTGGTGAGTTGTTTCACAGGCGTGCCAGAAATGGAGAAGTTGGTCTTTTTACTTTGAGAGCAGCTACTGTATAATGAATGGGAAAGATGCTGGTGAACATGGAAGTTAAAAAATGCAGTTACTCTCCATACCCAAATTCAGTAACTCTGAACAAGAACAGCAACAACAAAGTGCAGGGAAATTGTTCTTTCCAGAAGAAAAAAAATGTAATAAATAATAATAGAATATAAATGTATAACTTATTAACAAAAACAGTTTTTTTTATTTTTAAAACCTAAGGATATGCTTGTTTCTATGACCAGCTTATGTTTATAAAAGCTTTTCAAGAATAAAGCCATTATCATGCTTGTTTACAGGCAACTTTTAATGTTGTAATGTTTCACACACACACACAACTTCAATGCTAAAATGTTTTTGTATGGCTATGGTTAAGCTCAGTATATACAATTCAGTAGGAAAATTACAATTAAGAAAACATTAATTGCACTCTTAAGAAAAAGTTCACTTGTTTTTAGAGGTAAAAGAAAAAGGTTGTATCTCAGTCTTTTTCCTTTTCACTGGATTTGTTCTGTATTTTAAATAACAGTGTTTTGACCTAACAAGACAGTGTGTACAGAACATCTTTTTAAACATGTAACAGGTGAGTAGTTTTAGCATCAGTGAAGTCAGTTAGTGTAGCTACAAATCTAAAAACAAAAGCAAGTGATTGATTTGCTCATAAGAAAAGGTATGTCATTTTACAGTGCAAGATGAACATGTCACCTGCTTTGCTGCCGTTAGCCCAGAAAGTAAATATTAGCACAATTGTTAATGTTGAAATAACCGGGTCTCACCTCCACTTTGTGGCCTGAGCTCTAACTCCAAATAGTCTCAGATGTGTTAGTTAACATTAGGCATTTTAAAACATGCAATCCACTGAATAGTAATATTTCCACATGTAACCCAACTATAAGGTAAGGGCCCTGAGTTCAGTTAACTCACAGTAACTATGACTAATGAATCTTAAATCGCTAATAAAATATGCCCTTAGCTCCTATGAGTACTGTATGCAATAACCAAACACATTAGAGTTAATGTTTCTTCATTTACTCAACAGAAAAATCAGGGTAAACCATAAACAATAACAATTGCCTTTTAAATATCTTTGACTCTTTTTCTCTGTTAGACACACGTTTATAATATTTCAAAATTAACACACAAATACATTCACTCTACACCAGCCGGCATATACAGTATATGGCAAGCTGTTCCGCTCTCTGATCCAAAAGCAACAGAGCTGATGCATCAGAGTTGTGTAACACATTCCCACAGGTGTGTAACAGTTGCATAGCCTGTGACCCGGATCAGTGTGTTTTTGTGCCAAGGTCTCTTGCTCATATCTTATAGCGACAATGTTTAAGCCTGAGAAGTAAAAATGTTTTAGGTCTAAGGCAAGACTGAAAGAACAAACAACTGAAAGCAGGATAAATTACACTGTCTAGACCATTAGGACAAGTGAATCACTGTTCTTTTTTTTATGTTCACACAGGCTGTACACAATCAGTGACAAGACTTCTTTGGGCCTTTTTTCTGAGACTATTATTAAGTCATTTACTGATTGCAGATGAGGTAATGGGAATCAAGCAGCTTTATCAGTGGGGTATGCTGGGGTGTCCCAAATGTTCAAATACCTAATTTACAATAGCAAATACATTCAGAAGGAAACACAATGACACCCAGATTATGTTTTCTATCAGCATAATGAGGAAATGTATAAAATAAAATGTATGAGCAAATCTGTAGTGGAAATGGTGAATACTGTTAATGATATTGAACATATTTGTAAAATGTTCATTGACAGAAATGTTTTAATTGTTTTTTTTTCTCCCAGAGAACCTGGTTTTGCAGTACAGTTCTGTCTACAATTTTATTTAGCTTTTACAGAACTGGCAGAACTTGGTTATGGTTAGGGAGAGACTGTGGTCTGGTTTAATACATACAGTATAAAGGGAATTGAGACAAAACACGTTTAGTACAATTTGACCTAAACCATCACCTGTCCCTAACATTAATCATAGTGCCTTTATTGTCTAAACCTAACCACAGATGGACCTCAACTGCCTCCCCACAACTCTGGTGTGGTCCGCAGATGTAGTGCTTCATTCATTAAAAAACTTCCTCACTGAGCAAGTCAGGGCAGTGGCTACATATTGCACCACAGGACATTTTTCAGTAATGTACTGTATAAATGTGAATTAGAAGAAGGGGAATTCCAGTGTTGAAGAACATGTTGAAACAATGCTATGAACATCTGTGTAATGTGGCATATATTGCTGGAGCAGCCTTAAATCCTTCTGTTTCTGTACTTTAATGAAAGGTCCCTGCATTTGTCTTTGAAAAGCCTTCCTGAATCCCTTTCCTGCTTCACTTAATTCCTATTCACTAAACTTGTAGTTAACATTTGTCCACCAAAATCATTCTTAATAAGTTATGGGATGTAACACTGAAAGCTCCCCACAGCAATATACTTTAGTCATCATGGGGCCCAGCAAGGCACAGTTGCACAGATGTGGTTGACACAGGTTAACAGACTGTTCTTTGCCTGCCTTCTTATTTCAGAGCCAGAGCTAATCTATCACCTTTGTCACTGTAGGAGCCCTGTCCTATGCTGAGCTGGGGACTTGTATTAAGAAGTCTGGTGGACATTACATATATGTAATGGAAGCCTTTGGACCTCAGATGGCTTTCATAAGGCTGTGGGTTGAGTTCATTGCTATAAGGTAATATGTACCTCTTTAACTTACATTTATTGAGTCTAACCTTAGGCTTATTCATTCATTCATTCATTTTCTAACACTCCTATGGGCAATTTAGAGACACCAATCAACCTAAGCTGCATGTCTTTGGACTGTGGGAGGAAGCCGGAGTACCCGGAGAGAATCCACGCAAGCACGGGGAGAACATGCAAACTCCACACAGAAAGGTCCCAGGTGGGGCCCGAACCTGGAACCTTCTCGCTGTGAAGATGCACAAATAAATATATATTTTTTATAATAACAATGGGTCAAGGCAGCATTGTGGAGCAGTGGTTAGCATTACTGCCTCACAGCAAGAAGGTTCAAGCCCCGGGCTACTCTTGGCCTTTCTATGTGCATGTTCTCCCTGTGCCTGCGTGGTTACTCTGGCTTCCACAGACATGCAGGTTAGGTTGACTGGAGACTCTAAATTGCTCCTAAGTGTGAGTGTGTGTTCGTTTGTCTCTCAGTGTCAGCCCTGTGATATATTGGTGACCTGTCCAGGGTGTACCCGTTTCTTGCCCAGCGTCATCTGAGATTGGCTGCAACCCCTCTGCGACCCTTGTCAGGTTAAGCGGTGTGGATAATGGATGGATGGACAGTGGGTCAAATCACTACATAATGTGCTTCAGCTCCTTATTTGTTTGTTTGATTATTCATTCTGCAACTGTACTGTTTTGGTTCAGTCTCATAGATCTCCTCAACTGTTACCAGCAGCAGGCAGCTGTTTTCAGTGACAGATATCTGACATACCCACTGTATACTATATGCACAGTTGGAGACTAGCTGCTGAACATAGTGGAGCATTTAACATCTAAAGAACCAAATATTATCCTCAGAAGGTGGTAGAGACCAAAATCAGAGCTAAAAAAAAGAGTGACTATTGCACTCACATTCCAAATAATGCAAAAATGTATGTAAAAAAATTGGCAACTATGTGAAATTGGCAACTCTTTGCTTGCATTTTAGCAATAACTTCATAAAGCGATAATATGTCAGTGTTGTTTCTGCTGTTTGCTGCACTACCACCAAGTGCATAAAAGTAAAATGCTTAAGTCTTTAAACCTTAAAGTATTGAGTTTGCCTTAATATTTTTAACACTCATCCAAGGTCCTGGTAAGACAGTTAAAACAATTAAATGTTAGACAAATAGAATCACAGCAAACTGTGGATTTTCTTGCAGCGATAAACTGAATTTATCCTTCCATCCGGGGTCACAGGGGACTTACATCAGGAACACTGTTACACCCTGGATACGTTGAAAGTCTATCACAGGCCTGAAGATCTCAAACAGTTAACCTAACCTGCAAGCCTTTGGATTGTGGAGAAAACCTATGCAGGAATGTCTGGCCAGTTAGGTATGACTGTTCTCCATGTGCAGTTGTGTATGTACACAGCTCAGCCAAAGCTCTATAAACAGTCTAGTGACAACCCTAAACTTGTCAATGTTATGCTGGCCTCTGACTAGTGGGACTGAATGGAAACCATGGGGAATGAACAGAGACAGAAGCAGAGAATGAAAACAAGAATGAGAGAGACAAAGAGATTTTCCCGGCTGCAGCAGATCAGTGGTTATTGTGGGAAATGAAGAGGGGAAGGGTGACGAGCCATAAGATGAGCTAACTCAAATACAATCGGGCGATCAGCCTGTCGCCATAGATATTCTGTCAGATTGATCACTTGCTTGTATATAAGGAAACAACCACAGGTACCGCCCTGATGAAGATTTGGTGAAGAGTTGAGTGATGTGTTTAGATGTTAATATACTGACTTTAAATTCCACACTGATCTGCACCTTGTTGTGTGTATACTCTCAAAGAAAAGATTACATATTGGAATTGGGAAATTTAAGCATGGGAGTTTATTCTTGACCTTTGACTTTACAAAATCCTAACTCAAGTTCAGCTTATTAACTAAGAACCCGGATAGAGCTTTCAGTCACATATCCTGCATCTTTTAATTCAATTTAGCCTTTAAACAAAGTTATTGAGCAGCCTGTTTTGCAAAGGTGACCTGGCCAAGACGGCATCAGCTGCTATTTCAGACAAGCAACATAAAACACGGAAATACAGTATCATGAACAGATTGATCTATTTATTCCATGAAGCTTGTAAAGACTTACCAGAGAAACTCAAAGCTGTAACTGCTGCCAATAGGCCTGTGCAAAATACTGAATTAAGGGCCTTAATTTGCAAAGATTTTTAAATATGTTTTCACTTCACCATGATGGGTAACTGAGTGTACACTGACAGACAAAATAGCAATTTGATTCATTTACATTTTATTGTACAACCCAACAAAGTCAGCAAAATGTGAAGGAGTCTGCACGGTACACATTGAGGGGCATTAATCTAATATAATGAATGGAAGGACTTAAAATTGAAGAAAACATTGTCTATCACATAATGACAGAAATTTGTCATGAGTGAGAGGCTGACAAATAACATAAAAATCGTACTCTAAGGAAAACTCACAAATGACATTAAAATATAGACAATTCTATAAATAAGTAAATATAAGTGTGTGCAAGGTTGCACTGAGAGGTTGTGTCTGTCTATTTGGTCTTGTTAAAATGGATATAGTAGTGGGAATAAAAGAGTATTTGTATGTTCTCCTTTTGGTCATTGGCATTGTGAAGATGCTAAAACAGAGCTGCAGTGTTGACTGATGAGTTTGTGTATTCATTGCTGAGACACTTTCACGTTGATATAGTAAATAGTTGCAGTGTTAAAACAAATATTATTTACTGGACCTTTACATTTAACCTATCAGTATGTTTGTACGAACTTGTGATATGCAAGTATTGATATGTTTGTGCCTTTATCTTTGTGTGTGTCTGTCCTGCAGGCCTGCAGCAACAGCAGTCATCTCACTGGCCTTTGGTCAATACATCCTGGAGCCTCTGTTCATGCCCTGTTACATCCCCCCGATGGCTGTCAAACTGGCCACTGCCATCGGCATAAGTATATACATGGCATTATATTAACACATCAGTATGACAGTATGTCAGGTTGATATCATCTTTTTGACCAGCTGTAACCAGATCTGTGAATGACAGGAGAAGTAAGTGTACATGATAACAGAGATGAAACTGTGCAGTTAGAGGCAGGGATGAAGGAGAAGACGCTGTCTGCTGTCCACGTGACAAACAGATTTGTCTTTATCCTAACAAACCTGCCCATTAAATAAAAACACAGACCACCACATGAACAGCTTTTACAGCAGTAGTGCAATGAATACTGGTTTAGTCTACAGTGACATGTGCCTGAGGTATACAATATATGTTGGGGGGTGCATCAATCATTTATCATTTTTATATTGTAATTTTCTGACTAATGATGCAGTGCATGTCTGTGTCACATAGTGCAGAGAGATAGCTGTGTGCACATCCTATTGACTGATGAAACTGATTACATCCTGTTGACACAATGGTCAAATGATCAGGCAAAAAAAAAAAAATCCAACAAAATGTATAAAATTGTAGTTAGACTATGACCCTACATGCAGTATACATAATTAAAAATTAAACAAAAAGCAAAAATATTACAGAAATAACAAAATGAAATCCTTGATTACAGAGTCTAGATATTTAAAAAGAACAGCAGAGTATAAAATGACAATCCTGCTGGTTGTGAGAGCTTTAACTCACAATGTGGATATATTTTGTCCTTCAGTGTCACATGTTTTCAGCTAGGTCCAGTGGACATTTTGAACAAAACTGAGATCTACACCAAAAATTTGAACCAAAACCAGTGTTTACAGGGCCACATTTCTTTTTGCACATAACTATACAGTGAAGTGTATTTTGATACTACTGTCTTACAACGAGCATTCTAAACTACACTGACTGTGTATTGGTCTGTGAGTGCTGCACCTGAGTGCACAGCAGTACTATGGCTGATCAGATCTGGTCTGTAGCTGCAGCTGTTTAAGTGGTTTGTGTAGACAAGCTGTTAGTCACCCTTCAGAAAAAAGGCAAGAATGTGTGGACCCAAGTGGTGGTTGTGGATCGGCCAGGTCTTTAGGTTTTCAATGATTATGCTTGCTCAAAACTTTTTAACCCTGTTGCTTCACGATAAAACAGTATAAGATCATGTTCTTTGCCCCTCACCACTTTGGTTGGGTATAAATGAACTTTTTTGCAAATTAAACATGCTACACACTCACTATTCACACACCACTCACTCACTCGCAGTTTCTGTATTGGCACTCAGGGTAGACATAAGGCCTAAGTTGTGTGCTGTAAAATTGCCCAGGATGAATATAATTCTGAGGGGATACTCGACTGAACTGCTCGGTTATACTCCAGAATAATCAGTCATAGCATTTTCAGTCATGAAAATAAACTAACCACAGTGGGACTTTAATAGAACTATTTCTGAAATTAAACTAAACTACAGCATTTGCAGCGATATGCATTCCTTTTTAAAATAATTTAACACCCATGTCTTGTCCTTTCCTCATGTGGACACATAGGTGCTGCCATAGACAATAAATCAAATCATGTAAGAAGTAAATCCTCCTTAGCAACACTTGTCCAGGTGTGCCAAAACACCTAGAAATTTCAATATTTAGTCAAAAATTGTAAATTTCTATATTTAGTATAAAGAAAATCTCAAAATGAAATAGCACAGTGTGATGTTAACCTAAGAATAAATAGGCTACAGTATATTTCTATGCAGGAGTCTTGTGTATAATGACAAGTTTGTCATTATACACCAGGTAGGATGCATTTCATCGTCTTCTTCAGATGGCCAGCTTGAATCCTCTAAATCCTTTTGTTTTTCTTTAATTTGGATAGCTAGCTGTCATTTTCACACTGAAATAGACTATTTGTGACATTCTGAAAAATCATGCGCGGATCGAGACCAGTGCAACCAGGATGTCATCTCTGTTGTCACACAAGAGCAGGTGCTGGCAAAGATAGTGTATTTCTGATTTTATTGTTGTTTGCAAATATAGGCTGTTCTCATGTTGCAGTGCTTTAGGTGTATTAAAAAATATATTTTTATTATTTTATATGGTCTATTGGTAAGATAGCATGAATCACAATGGGGGGTAGCGGATTAACTTTTATATGTTTACCCAAAACCTTATAACCTAATATTATCTTAAGAAAACATAGTTCAGAAATGAAATGCGATTCAGTTGAGAGTTAAGAAACACAATAAGCCACAGCCACATGACACATGGATTTCCACTATGGCATGACGTACCACTCTGCCTCTCTGTTTCTGCAGCTTCTGTCATGTACCTGAACAGTATGAGTGTTACGTGGACAGCCAGGATTCAGATCTTCCTCACATTTAGCAAGCTGCTGGCCATTGCCATCATCACAGTGCCTGGGATGTACCAGCTCTTTAAAGGTAAGACATCATTATCATTATAATCATCATCACCTGTAATAGCTGCTATTAGTACCACAGCAGAGTTCCAGACACTCTAAAGAGTGTGTTTCATCCTTGCATTTGTTTTTCAGGAACATCTCCAGACTTCACACAGTGAACTCAGCAGTATATACTGACATGATTTCCTTTGTCTCACGCACTATCGTGCATTGTAACTGTAACCTTAAAACCTTGCAGGCACAGCTGCTCACAACAAGGAACAGCATGAGCATTTCACAATATCCTCACAGCAGGTGTTCAGACACATTCAAATCACTTCAACTGTGTTTCCCTCAGCTGTGGACCTCACTTTAAAATCTGGCTAGTTGTGTATAATATATATTAGAATCAAATGACAAAGGCCTTAAGACCTGTCTGGCATAGCTGTTTATGTAGAAATGACCACAAGCAGAAGGCCACTAGGGCCAGCAGCAAATTTTTGTCCCTATCTGATTAATTCAGTTCTAATAATATCTATGTTCACCTTTGCCTGCCTTTGCACAGTGATCATTACACACAATTTGCGGTTCTCAACAGCGGAGTACCACATTATTTTACTATTATATAGTTTTTTTCTGTTTGCATGAGCAGATTTTGTTCATGATTATCATCATCTGCATAAAGCAGAACAATGATTATATATGAATGTGATTTAATCTAAGTGAAATACCTGTGTTTCAGAGAACAATATATTTTTCCAAGCTAATAAGATCGAGTAGGGCTCCATTCATCTGTTTTGTTGGTAAAACTACTCTTAATTAGGGATGCAGCGATACCACTTTTTTCAGACTGAGTACAAATACAAGACTTACATGTGAAAACTCACTGATACTGAATACCAATACAAGTACTTAATAATAATGCAAATCATGTTTCTGCTATAAAAATTACAATTACCATTAAGGTGCAGTGACTTTTAAGATAGTTTTTATGATACCAAGCACAGTGCTGCCACCATTCCTACTGAATATAATGAGCACTGTTTGGGTTTAGTGGGTGAACGGGACCACGCAATTTGACCATTAGGAGAGTGAAGATGTCACATTTCTGCAAGTTTGTTGTTGTGTTCAGCTTGTTCAACAGGTGTTTGATTCATTACTGTCTCCGTTACGGTTTGTTTTGTTTCGCATATCAAGTGCTGACATTTCTGTAAAATACGACCTTGTATCTGTCTTCTATCTGTGTGAGACAGGGAGGGAGGGGCGCTCACAGACACACACACACAGCAGAAGAGAGGTCGCAGTTGGCTTTACTCTTACCATCATCACTTAAAATATCCATGAACTACTAAAATTTCATCTCCAACACCTATCAACTGGCTCTGCCAGAGTGAGGTTGACATAATGTTTTGACTTTTATGAATGTGTGTGTGTGTGTGTGTGTGTGTGTGTGTGTGTGTGTGCCCATGTTTGTAGGAGAGACCAGGAACTTTGAGAATGCCTTTGATCTGCACAATATGACGTTTTCTGGCATGCCACTGGCCTTCTACTCTGGGATGTATGCATATGCTGGGTGGTAGGTATGGTCCTCACACACACACACACACACACACACACAAATGTATATATACTATATATGCATAGGGCCAGTCATCAAACATTCATCTTCTCAGTTTGTTATGTGTCATTTGGTTTGCATTCACTTCAGTTCCATAGGTTTTGCACAATGTTTACTTGCTTTCTAGATGTAATACAAGAGCTGTTTCCTTTTCCAGGTTCTATCTGAACTTTGTGACAGAAGAGGTAGAAAACCCTGAGAGGTGAGCTTAATCCATGTGCTAGCTGCACTAGTAATACATTGGGTCTTGTATACAGTATTTGCTTAAATGAAAACTTAAAAAAAAATTCTCCTTTAATTAGTACTGTAGTTTCTACTGATATGGATATTATATTAGTATATTAAATAAGGATATTATGTCATGAATGATGCCCTATCCTACCAAAAACAGAGCTAAAAGAGAGTGACTATACTTTGGTTCATCAGGTGGACACAAAGGCAGCTCTAAGTGAATGACAATGCTGATGTGTGTCTGCTACATGTGCAAACGGGAAACTCTTTGCTAACACATTAGCCATATTAACTTTATTAAAATGTCACTAGGTGACATATTCCTTCATTACTGTGATCACACACACTGTAGTTCTTGTTTTGACTCATTCCTACATACACTGTGCTGCTGCTGAGAATACTCTACCGCACCAAATGTGAACTGAATATGCACTATTTCATCCTGTTTGAGCAATAAAAGCTACAGTGATCATGTGTGAACCAATGAGCTTGAAGCTATGAGGCACAGACAGAATGGAGACAGAATAACACATTTTTAGTTTTGTCTTTTCATAGGATTTGTCGACAGTAAAACAAGCAGAAAATAATACCAGACTAACACTTTGACAAACATCCTGAGCTATATATGCTAAGACACCTGTAGCAGCTAGAACCCCTAAATCATGACTTCTCAATAAATCCTTTGCAGTTTCTTTTCTTATTTATGAACAGAATGAAAAGTGTTTTAGGACAGGGAACCTCTGCAGACTTTATATCTTTTGTTATTTGTTGCCACATTTATTGCTCAACTATCTGTGAGAGCAGCCTGCTGTTTGTGGTTAACTCAACCTCCACACTTCCTACATGTTTAACTCCAATAAAACTCAGCACATCCTACACTTGTGAAATATGAGACATCTACAGGAAGTCTTGGGTTTCATTAACATAGCTTCCAGACATAGGAAAGTGGAAATAATTAGTGAATAAAAACAGCATTTGTTGTTACAAGAGGACGTGCAAACAGCAGAGCGGTGAATAGGACACAGCCAACAAATCTCTTCCCTCCTGTTCGACCCAAAGGTACACCTGCTGAAATGATGCTGCTACATTGGCAGGTGGAAAAGCAAAAACTCGGCCAATATTAACAACATACGTTGCCCCGGAAATGGACTTTTGTCATCATGGAAACAGTCATAAACACATAAATACAATGGCAAGCATGCCAGAAGTCTATGGTCAAAGAAATGAACTGCTGTTACATTTATGAAGCTGAACTGAGTTTCAGGCACACAAACTAGTTGGAGACATAATCATACAGATAGAGTATATATCAATATATCCTCCTGAAATCTGTTAACTCAGAGCTTTTACAGTCACCAGCAACAGACTGGCCTCCTGCTATTTTATTTCAATAAGGAAAGTAGAGAAAGAGGTGCAATGAAGGTGAGTGAGCCATGCTATGGATGACAGTGTATTGCTCTGGTTATTATCCCTCCTGCCCTCAGGACCATGCCATTAGCTATCTGTATCTCCATGGCGATTGTGGCCTCCTGCTATATGCTGATCAATGTGGCATACTACACAGTGATGTCAGCAGAGGAACTCCTGGCCTCAGAAGCTGTTGCTGTGGTACGTAATAGCTACACACACACACACACACACACACACACACACACACATATACTGTATATGTACCATATATGTACTGTATATTTCACTAGCAGGGACCTGCCCTCAGTAAGTACGAAAGAGAATATAAGAATACAGTATGTAATGCTTGTGTATACTTGACTGCTTGTGCATTTTATGGTGTTTTGGGAAGGTTAAGAAGGTCATAGCTGTTCTCGGGCGCTGGTAGACCTGCAGAAAGGATAGAAGAAGGAGAAGGGAAAAAGATAAACTTTTTTTTTTTTTTAAAGTGGAAGTCGGTTTAAATACTGTGAAAACAAAACCGGCATAGTTTGGGTCAGGTCCTGTTCCTGAACATGATGCATTATCTGCATGTGTGCACGTGTGAATATATAGTTAAATAAACTTTTAGCTGCTGCTGCATGCTCCAGCCACATTTTATTTTTCTATCCATCACTTGCCCATCTCATGGAACAGAAACACTCCCATTTTATCAAATGTATCGATCCACACTGACCGTCAGACATCGGCAGCATCAAACCAGGACCCTTTGTGTTTTTTATGGGTTCTACTCTAAGTTTTTCTCCTCTGGCACAGTAAAGTATAACAGGCAGCATGAATATCCCACTGTTAATAAGTTCAGAACATATAAACAGTATTTCACTCTGAACTTTCTGCTTTCATAGTAGGCACATACCAAATCATTTAATCAATCAAAACTATGCTCCATAATCCTCATTCGGCCCCACTTGCCCAGTACATTTCTGATGTCAGTCAGATGAATGAAAACAGCTTGGCTGGCTGCTAGTTCTGAGGAAAGAGGTTGGAGTTGGTATGGATTGAATGGTCAAAAGGTTCTAGTAGTGCTTAGATGCTGCTCACATCTCAGTTTTAATGTGGACTCCCTGTAGGTAAAAGAATCAGACGGTTTAGTTCTGTGAACACTGAGTGAACAGAAAGACACTGGTGGTATTTCAGACCAAGGAAATGAAGGAGTTTATGAAAAACCTTTAAATGCCTAAACAAAAACATATCAAAGAAGTAATATGTACTGATCTGTATATATGCATTTATTGGGTCATAATTAAATGAAAACAATGTAAAAAAAACCATTTGTAACTTAGTGTACCATATATTAATAATGATAATAATAATTTTTATTCAAAGTGCCTTTCTGGGCACCCAAGGTCGCCTCACCATACAGTAAAAACAGAACAATAATAGAGAAAATAAGACAACAATCACTAAGGAGGTAAAATATCTGAACATCATCAGCGAGTAACAAGGCATTAATATCAACAGTAAAAAGCTGATTAAAAAGACAAGTCTTTAAACCACCTATAAAGTCCTTAAGTTAACTCCCAACCCTTAAATTATGAGGGAGTTTGTTCCAGAGCTTAGAGGCAGCGTAGATCACCCACAGTGGCCAGTCTAGCATCCAGGAGCACAAAATGCACAGCAGATGAAGAACATAAAGTCCAAGGGGGAATAGAGTAGGAGGCCAGATCAGGCAAGTGTGTGGGAGCTAAGCAATGTTAAAGGTTAAGAATGAAATCTTGTACTGAATACAAAAGACAAGTAGTAGCCAGTGTAATTGCTTCAAAAGTGGTGTGGATTAGATTCAACTTTATTGCCATTACACATGTACAAGTACAAGGCAACGAAATACAGTTTAGCATCTAACCAGAAGTGCAATAACACTAGTGTAGAGTGTGCAGTATCTACAGTATGTACAGTTAGAACTAATTTACCGATAGATACTGTATGTACAATTGATATTTACAGTAAGATATGTAGGGTAATGTACGGTATACAACAGACTAATAGTGCACAATAAGAAGATAAGTTACATGAGTGAACAGTTCAATGGATGCAAATAGTGCAAAGATAAATATACAGTATCAGCATATGAACAGTGTGCAAATGAATAACAGAGCAGTATTCTGTGAGTAGAGTATGTGCAAATTAACAGATCATTTCAGTGTTTCAGGTAACAGAAGTGTATTACATTAATCCCGGGAGGACAGATGAGAAGGGGTGAGGTGTGTGTAGTGGTATAGAGGAAGGCAGTGGGGGGTCAACAGGAGACAGAGTTCGGTAAGGAGACAACTGTGGGGAAGGAGCTGTTCCTTAGTCTACTGATTTTGGTCCAGAGGCTCCTAAAGCGCCTCCCAGAGGGTAGGAGGTCAAACTGTTTGTCAGAGACAGCGTTCCCTGTGGACACCCTCAATGGCTGGAAGTGGAGTCCTTGTGATGTGTTGGGCAGTTTTCACCAGTGCCTTGTGGTCAGAGACAGAGCAGTTCAGACTGTGATACAGCTGGATGGCTGAAGACAGGTGGTTCTTCTTCAGTGTCCTCAGGAAGAAGAGGCGCTGGTGAGCCTTCTTAACCAGGCTGCAGGTGTTGGTGGTCCAGGACAGATCCTCTGAGATGTGGGTCCCCAGGAATTTGAAGCTGGAGACCTGTTCAACAACTATCCTGTTAATATGGATGGGGTCGTGTGTGCCTCCTTTCTCCCTCCTGTACTCCACAATGAGCTCCTTGGTCTTGTCGGTGTTAAGGAGCAGGTTATTGTCAGCGCACCACACAGCCAGGTGCTGTACCTCCTCCCCCTCCCTGCTACTCATCGTTGTCGCTGATGAGGCCGATCACCGTGATGTCATCTGCAAACTTGATGATGGTGTTGGAGCCATGCACAAGCCTGCAGTCGTGGGTAAAAAGGGAGTAGAGGAATGGGCTCAGTACACAGCTGTGTGGTGGAGGAGCAGGTGTTGTTTGACCTATCATGCTGAGGCCTGTTGGTCAGAAAGTCCAGAATCCAGAGGGAGGTGCTAATGCCCAGGTCTTCTATTTGGTGGCTAATTTGGAGGGGATGGCCCTGTTAAATGTTGAGCTGAAGTCCACAAACAGCATTCTTGTATAAGCAATCTTATTGTCCAGATGTCTGCGTACAGAGTGCAGTGCTATGGAGACTGCATCCTCTGTGCTCCTATTCTTGCAGCAGGCAAATTGGTGGGGGTCCAGTGTGGGTGGGAGACAGGTCATCAGGTGTGTCAGGACCAGGTGCTTGAAGCACTTCATGACAATGGGTGTGAGTGCTACAGGGCAGTAGTCGTTCAGGCACGTCAGGGAGGAATGTTTCGGCCCTGGCACAATGGAGGTGGTTTTGAAGCATGTGTAACATGTTCATGTGATCCACACTGCAGAATAACTGCAGCATACGGAACCACCTGAAGCCACCAGAGGGGTTTATTTGGAATGCCAAATAAATGTGAGTTGCAATAGTCACCTTTGTTTTCCATTTGCTCGTTTTGGATGGTAAGTCCTTCACATGTTTAGTCAGCCTGGGCTCTCCTGCAGTGGAAAGGTGTGTGCTACTTCAAAGCATTTATCTGAGGTCTCACCTCTGTGCTGTTAGTAACGTTTACTCCTAATGTGAGTACCACAGTTGCCCTTCCTGCACTTAACATGGCGTTATTAGCCAAGTGTCTCTGACAGCTCGGCTTCCCAGCAGCTGTTAATGTGATTATTCCAGACCAGCCCTGTTAATGCTAATCACATCACAGACATCCCCTAATAACAGCTATCATTGCTTATTAGACTGAAGACTGCTATCACTGCTACTGTAAGCCTATATTTGAGGAAGACTCATTCACTAAGAGATCTCTGATCTTTTCTAATGCACTTAGTTTTATTGCCCTGTGCTCAATGAGTGATAGGAGCACCTTAAGAAAGGTGTTAAGAGCATTTATCTTTTCTTAGAAGGATGTGATGGGATAAAAGAATTACATCTCGTTCTTCCTTTCTCACAGACAGCGAGTAAAACTTTAGATCTCAAACTTAATTACAGAGTTGAACTCATGTCTAAAACTTGCCTCAGAGGTTGACCACAAGACCCAACAAGAGTAATAGATGGAAAGAGTTGAAGACTTTGAAGAGTTGCATATAGATGTATTAGACAGAAGACAGGTTTAATTATTTTGGTAAAGTCATCATAATGTGGTCACCTCAAAAATTTGAGGAGTATGACAATTTGTAATAGAGAACACTTTTGACTTACATACAGTATCTCTGATTTATCATATTGAACAGATGTCAGTTCTTTGTTTTAAATGTTATTGATGGAACAACCTATTAGTTGATGTTTGGTGACCATATTGTGCCTTTAAAATACATATTGTCATAATCAATCATGCTCTGATGAATGCGCCACTAGAAGAATATTTACATTTTTAAAACTGTAAGACTGATTAAATATGGTCCCTCTCTGGCTTCCCACAAACACTGTAAATGTACCTGAAAGGACAGAATTTCCCTACTAGGAACTGAACCTAAAACTTGTTTCTGAAATGGCACTCTGGGCATGGGGTTTATAACAAGCATCTTCTGACCATTCTCTTTAATACTTTCAAAACCTCAGTGCTCTGTTGTGAGTATTTGTGGACATGTTTTATAAAGATTTCAAGCATATAAAATAATTAATAGCATCTATTGCATCATTATAGTGTGGTTGCCTTGGAATGATCTTAAATAACAACATCCTTTTAGTGTCCATTTACAGAATATTACAAATATGTCTCACAGATTCCTATTTTTTTCCCTCAGAGTCAGTGCTTCTCCATGCAAGCATGGACTGTGACTAATCAGCACTGAATGGATTTTTGAATAATAAGGAGCTTTTGCTCCCACATCTGCATGACCCATTTATGACAATTACTGCCAGCAGCCTTGTCAACTGCTCTATTTCCATCAATCTAAATACAACCCACCTAATCCACAGGACATTCAATAAACTGATCACACTCACCAGAGGCCCACTCCCTCTTTTTAAGGGGACCTAACATTTTGGGAAATACAAAGTGCTTTTTGTCCAAGACTGAAATGAGAAGATACAGTAGATTACATTGTCATGTCTATGAAGGCAGGGGGAGTTGCCCTGTTTCTGTTCAAAGGTCAGAATTGTATCTAGTATTACTTCTGAAGTTACTAAATGTGTTGGATTTATTGATCCATAAACAAACATAAATATGAGAATGACATGTGTCATGGATTTAATTTTTGCTGAATTAACTATTAGCCATGAGTTAGCTACTTTTTAAAATCTTACTCTTGGATGTAGAGTAAATAAATGTGTTTCTCATGTGTTTAACTGTTGCTTTAATTAAAAATAATCTGTGACACATACATCACTCATTAATGGAAGCCTGTAAGTGTTAGAGCTTCTCAAACAATAAGCTAGCTGAACAATATTTACTGGCTTAGGCCCCAAAAGAAAGATTTATGGCCCTATCTTGCAACAACTGCATGGCATGGGGCGCAGGTAGTGCGTCTATGTTTCCTAATTTTCTGCCTGCGCAGTTACCATTTTCATAACATGTGCATCATGTTGCCTTTTTACCAACCTGTCGACTTTGCGCTGGCAGGTGTATCTGGATGAAAATGGGGTGTGTCCAGGTACATTTTGGGCACATTGGTAATATGAGAGTGCTCAAAGTGACTGCAACTGACCAATAAAAACCAGGTCTGTGATCAACAGTCAAATCATCATTGCTAGTTAATGGGCACTTTGACCGTGTTATGATGCGCGCCTGTCTATGTGCGTGCACAGTGCTGATGTCTGACCTGGCAAGTCCACCAGTATGCTATCAATCTGTCAAATGTTCATACTCACATGTCTGTTAAAGCGGATGTGAGGTTACACACTGATTGGATAATTGCACGTAAGGCCCAAAACACACCACTGCTTTAATGAGTGGATCAAGTATAGCACTTCTGCTACTTGTGCTTAGACGGTTTTTCCTCCTTGTCAAATTACTGATGTGAACATGGACAGACCCAAACACCACTTGCACAATACATCTTGATCAGACGCCATGGATCCTCAAAATAGAGCCCTTAGAGCTCTATTTTCTTGCAAGAGGGTGTAGTGCTAAACATGTGTCTAAAACTCCAGGCGCAAGATGAATATGGATGTATTTAACAATGTTTAGCAATTTTAGTGATCACAGACGGAGTGCACCTCTGTGCACAGCCAGGAAGGGAGGAAAACATTATGAGCGGGTGCAGTCGGGGCTGATTGAGTTATGCCCAGTCAAACCAGCTCCTCTCATCCCCTTTAAAGAGCAGGGTGGAAACCTGACTGACTGATGGCGCTGATGTCAAGACATGGAAAAATATGAGAGGGAAGATTCTTTCCTTGTATGTGTCAGGAATCAGCACGTGAAGCTGCCGATAATGTCAAGGGGTGAACTCAATTATAAAGCTAGACTAGTAAAAGCAAAAACCGTCTCTTTAATAAGAGCAATGGTAACAAACCAAAACAATACAGAAAACTGATGAAACAAGAAACACACTCTCAGGTCGGTAATACAGTCCAGGGTCCGAGCCAGCCAACTTACACATACAAGGTATCCATGAAAGCACGGTCCAAAAGGAAGTCCAAAGGTCGAAACACAGAAAACATGATCAGAATCAGAGGGGTTAGGCAGTACTCGGTGGTCACAAAGTAGTCCGTGGTCAGAGCTGGAATAACAGGTGCAAGGAAAAACGCTGGAAAGTCTGAACATGAGTCCAGAACAATCTGGCAGCTTTCTGGTGGGGGGAAAGCTGCTTATAACGGGGTGATAACAGATCCGTAGCTGTGATATGACTGTAACAGGAAGTTGTCAAAAAAAAAGCACAAGACTGGAAACAGGTGGAACAAAATCATGACAATATGGTCTTCTCCTGCTAGTTATCTGCTCTATTCTTAAACAGTGACAAAACTATTATTGTAGAAGTACTGCGCATATATTTTCTCACAGTAGTCTGCTAATACTACCAATACACTGACCAGCATTTTGTGCATGGAAGAAAATTCTCTGGTCCTGTAACAAGCAGCAGTTACATAGCACAATTTACTCACATCTGCATCTGGTTGTGCAAAATCCACAGAGATCTTGTATGTAACTTTATAAACATTTCACTGTTTATAAAATAATATAATTAAAGAATATTGTAATCACTGTTTGTGGTGAAACTGACTGTGGTCCACCAGAGCTCACAGCCAGTGGATGTGTCGCACACTTTATCTCCCCCTATAGCTGCTTTCAAAGCTGATCAAACCTTCATAAAATGCAAAAACAGATACAATGTATATGCCCATGGTAGGCACGAAGGTATGTCTGTGTGAAACTTGCTCTTTTATAGAAACTAACTTAACAGTGACAGCAGCCAAAGTGAGGTCAGACTGACTTTACCTGCTACAGAACAGGACTAATGGAGAAGTCTACAGGGTGTTAATTATTTATCTTGGCTCATGAGCTGCTTTCATGTGTTATGTGAAATTTTTAACAAGCATTTAGATTCCAAACACTGACTGCAGATCATCTCTGGTTGCAACCTGTAAGTAGCCTACAGATGGTGCATCCTGACACGCACCAACACTGTTTGACCATATTGATATCTATTGCCACATACTGAGAACTATCTTATCATTTTTAAAAATAATCTTCATGATACACAAAAACTTTTCTGAGTAAATTCCAGCAAATCAGTTGTGGATTTAAGGGTTAATTTCAAGTTGGTGTGCCCATTAAAATACAGTTGGGCATTTGGGTACCTGATATCCTGTTTCCCAGTCTATGCATTTGTCAGGAAAATTGCAAGTCCACAGCCTCAATTGTGTCTCCCCTCCCACCTCAGCGTAAACACATTCATTCATGGTAGGAAAATACCAATGCACAAAAAAATAGATATCTGCCGCAAGAAAATTGCATAAGGACAATGTTTGAAGTGGCACAAAAATTACGCTGGCAGGAAAATAGAGCCCCATGAGAGTAATGTTTTATGTCATCTGTTGAAAATGAAATAACTGAATAATTAGTTAGTGTAATCTGTGAGCAAAGATTTTACAGATACACTCTTGACATATGCTGGTAACACATTGCATCTCTGAAGCAACACATCTTCTTTCTCACTTGGCTTTCTCTGTGTCTCTCTTTGTTTGTACTTGTCACAGACTTTTGCAGCAAAGTTGATGGGGAACTTCTCAATAGCTGTCCCATTATTTGTGGCCTTGTCCTGCTTTGGCTCCATGAATGGCAGCTCGTTTGCCTTGTCAAGGTACAGATGCGTTCTTTTGGCTGGCCTTTGTCTCACATCTATGTACGATAACAAAACACTTGACACATTTATTTTAGATAAACCTTCAGTTCAGTGCCATATTGCACTGATGATTTATTCAGTTGTAGAGTGCTATAGAAAAAATAGGGAGAGTTTATGGTGCAAGTTTACTGTAAATTCTCAAATTAGTTGTTACAGTTGTGCCTCTTGCTTGAAATACAAATAAAAGTAAAGTAAAGACCAGGAATATCAAATTTACAGTGTGTACGGTGATTCAAGTATGTTGGACAAATAGGTTTTGCACCAGCTCACTGTCATCTTTGGAGCTTGTAACATACTGGGAAGGTTCTTGTTTTTGAATCTATGCACTCCTTTTGCATTAAATTACATGAATGAAAAAAATAAGTTCACTTTCTGCAGAGGCAGCAAATAAGCTTGTAATGCTAATGTAGAGTGAATGTCATTCAAGATTATAATTGATTTGTTTTAGTCATACAGTCAATCAGTTCAATATTAAGTAAATGTTAATTGCCATTCTTATTTAAATTCTGTGCGTTGGTGTGTGCCTTGTGTGTATGCTCACCAGAATGTTCTATGTCGCATCGCGTGAAGGACAGCTCCCTGAGGTTTTCTCTATGATCCACATCCGCAGACACACTCCACTAGCTGCTGTTCTGATACTGGTCAGTTTACTGCAATAACAACAATAATGACAACAACCAATAACTGCTCATTAAAAGATACTTTTAAACTAAGTATCCCTAATATCCTCAGTTGGAACAGTCACTGACAACAACAATGGCAGTTAGCCTTAGAATTTCACAAATCTCAGTAATGCTGACTTAAATACTAATGTTGAAACAAAGAGTATTACAGTATTCAATATTTCACATGCTAAGTATTGTTTGCTCTGCAAGTCATGCCACATCACTAATACTGTAGATTGAAGCATTGTTGCTGTGGTCACAAAATGCAACAACACATTGGTAAGTTTTTATGGTAACCTTGTGTGTGTGTGTGTGTGTGTGTGTGTGTGTGCATGCGTGCAGTACCCTATGACAATGCTCCAGCTGTTTGTGGGAGATATCTACAGCCTGTTGAACTTCATGAGCTTCCTTCGGTGGTTCTTCATTGGTGTGGTGGTGCTGGGTTTAATTTACCTTCGATATACAAAGCCTGACCTTCACCGCCCTTTTAAGGTCAGTGGCTCCACACCTGCATACATTGTATTTGACATTATCTAACCTTATTCTAACTTCTCATTGAATTGTATTTATTTATGTATTTATTAATTTATTGATTGCAATTTGGTTTAAATGTAAATTAGTTCGGTCACATTTTAAACATTAATGTGTATTTATAAACATGCATACTTAAGCCCCTTTTACACCACCTGGTACATGGTACTATTTTTGGTATTACCTCCACTGAGGTTCCAAGCAAGTTGAGGTGATACCAAACAGTGATGTGTAAGCACTGCAGACTATCAATTGGTCAAAAAACTTAATCCTTGCTATGCGGCCATCTTGCCACTGATTAACCAAGATGTTTATTCATTCAGAATAGTAGCTGCAACGTCTGTCTCACGAGTGTTATGGGGGTAAAATTTATGGTGTCAAAGGCCTCAAGCCTGTGTCACCATATAATGTAACTGTTATATTACATGAACCACCACATTGTACTCAACTCAACTCAATTCAACTTTACTTATAGACCACTTTAACACAGCTAAAGCCAAACAAAGTGCTTAACATAAGATTTGATTTAAAACATATAAACACGTGAACAACTACATTAATAAGAATAAAACAACAATAAAATAAAATAAATGAACCAAGATAGCAAAATAACAAAATACTATCCAAAACCAAAACTCAGGCCAAACAGAGTCTCATGCCATATCAAACACCAAGGCATACAAATGAGGCTTCAATTAAGTTTTAAAAATGGCCAACGAGGGGGCCTGCCTAATGTAAAGAGCGCATTCCATAGCTTAGGAGCCACAACAGAAAACGCTCTGTCCCATCTAAATTTACACCTAACCCTTGGTACCCCCAGCAGGATCTGGTCAGCTGATCTGAGGCACCGAGAGGGACTATAAGGAAATAAAGGCTCAACAAGGTACAATGGTGCAAGACCATTTAAAGACTTAAAAACAAATAAAAGAATCTTAAAATGAATCCTAAAGGACACCGGGAGCCAGTGAGGGGATGCCAAAATAGGGGTTATATGCTCCCTTTTACGCACTCCAACCAAAAAACGGGCAGCTGCATTCTGAACCAAAGTGACGACTGGCTGACTCCGACATAAAGTGCGTTACAGTAATCCAAATGTGATGTAATAAAAGCATAGATTACTGTCTCAAAATGCTGGCATGCAAGAAAAGGCTTTACCTTCGCTATCTGCCTAAGGTGGAAAAAACTAGATTTCACAACCGCATTAATTTGGCGATTAAATTACAGACCAGAATCAATTTTTACGCCCAAATTCAAGATCATCTGTTTCTCATACTGCGCTAGGTGACCTAAGTCAACTGAAGGTGGGTCAACAGATTTATTTGGGCCAAACACTGTAACTTCAGTCTTTGTCTGACATCTTAGTTGGCCATCCCATCTCCAAAAACGTTGCAGCAAATTTGTAACTAGCATTACTTAGATAGATTAACCAAACACCCGAAAACTAGAGTAGATAGTTATTTTCTCCCCTGAAAAGCTATCAAAACTGACTAAAATGGCACAATAACAACAAAAATGATAACAGCTTTGGCCCTGCCCTGCTAGGGCAGCTTCATACGGCATCACTGTGACAACCAGCTACACTGAGAGGGACTATCTGCAGTGGAAAACAGCACCTTGTACCAAAAGTGAGCAGAGCTGAGTTGAGTAGATTTGAGTTAAGCCAGCACCAGGCAGTAGAAAGGGGGCTATAGTCACCAGAAACAGTAATGGCACTGTTTTCAATTTCAATTGTTTTCAAATATCAACAAACACAATATTTATAAGCTGATAAAACAGTCATGATCTTTCAGGTCTTTATTGAACACACCCATTAAAGAAATTGATGATGGAAGAAGTAATGGCAACACCAGGCTTCTGAGGTCAATAAACGTGAACTGAAGTAAGATGTTAGCAAATCTGCAGTTCAATCAATGAAATGAGAATGGAGGTGTGGTTTAGAACTACCTTGACTTATAAAAACACTAAAACTGTGTGAGGGTGCTATTGACAAGCAGCATCAGCTGATGTGACCCATGCCTCACAAAAAAAATCTCAGAAGACCTAGGATCAAGGGTTGTTGATTTGCATGTAGCTGGAAAGGGTCACAGAGTTGTCTCAAAGACTTCAGATATCCATCAATCCACAGTTAGACATAATGTCTATAAGTGGAGATAATTTGGTTTTGTGGCTACTCTCCATAAAAGTGGGCACCCAGCCAAGATCAGTCCAATGGCCCAACATAGAATGCTCAGTGAGGTAAAAAAGAACTCTAGAGTAATAGCTAAAGATTTCAAGGATTCATTGGAGTTGGTTAATATCTCTGTTCATGAGTCAACCATACCATTCAAAATACTGAATAAGCATGGTATACATGCCTATTCAGTATTTACACCACAGAGTAAGTCATTGCTCTGCACAAACAAAACTCCAGCAGCCTGAAGTTTGTCAAAGACTACCTTGACACTCCACAACACTACTAGGAAAATGTCCTGTGGATGGATAAAAGGAAGGTAGAATTGTTTGTGAAGAACACACAGCACTATGTAGGTGTAAAAAGAGAACCATGTACCAACATGAAACCATCATCCCAACAGTGAAGTATGGTGGAGTGAGCATCATGATGTGTGGCTGCTTTGTTGCCTTTGGACCTGGACCACTTGCGATTGTGGAAGGAAAATGAGTTCCCAAGTTTATCAAGGTATCCTACAGGGTAATGTCAGGGTGGCTGTTTGCAAGCTGAAGCTCAGAAAAAGCTGGATGATGCAGCAGGACAATGACCCTAAACATCAAAATAAATCTACTACAGAATGGCTTCAGAGACACAAAACCGGCCTTTTGGAGTGGCCCAGTCAGACCTCAAGCCAATACAGATGCTGTCCTCAAGACAGCAATGACCTCAAAAGAGCCGCTCACTCCAGATGTCCTAAGAATGTGGCTGAGCTGAAGAAGCTCTCTGAGGAACAATGGTCAAATCCACAGCTACAGAAAACACTTGCTTGAAGTTATTGCAGCCAAAGGTGGTTCAACCAGTTATTAAAACACTGTTGCCATTACTTCTTCCACCATCACTTTGTATGTTTAATGGGTGTGTTCAATAAAGATATGAAATATCATGACTGTGTTTTATCAGCTTAAAAATAGTGTTTGTTGATATTTGTAACTGGTGAAGGTCAGGTAACCTTTTGTGACCAATTTATGCAGAAAACCAGCAAATTGCTAACAGTGCCATTACTTTTTCTTGTGACTGTATATGAGTGATAATAACAATCATCACTGCTGACTGTCCACAGGTCCCACTCTTCATCCCTGTGGTGTTCTGCATCACCTGTTTCTTCATGGTGTTTCTGTCTCTGTACTCGGACCCAGTGAACACAGGGATTGGATTTGGCATTTCGCTCACTGGCATCCCAGCATACTACATCTTCCTACACTTTAATCAGAGACCAAAGTGGCTTCAGAGGGCTTTAGGTAACTCATATTTAAATGATATGATACTAATGCATTGGATGATACTAATACAATGGCTTTTCGGCTTTATCTGCACATCTGAAATTAGATTTGTTAGTTGTGTAGCAAAAATTTGATTTATTAATTATTTTCACTGACAGAAAAGTGGTAAGATTATTTTAACAATGAAGTAATTATTGCCATCATCTATCAAGGTATAATTACAAACTATATAGCAAATTGTCTTATATAGTACTTTTTTACTCAAAGCACTTTACACTATTTCTGGTGTGATTACCAGAAGCAACTGGTGTCTTACTCAAGGTCACATCAACATGTGTACTGGAGAAGCTAGGTATCGAACTGACAACCCTCCGATTAAGAGAACCTGGTCTTCCTCCTGAGCCACAGCTGCCCCTATGCAATTTATCAAAACCGCAGTTGCAACTACTACAGGAAGAATCATTATCTATAGGTCACTGTGGGGCTCTCCAGGGGGAGACATGCCTGAGGTTGCTGTTGTCCAGTTGAGGTCAATGACACATTATTTTAACTTGTGAGAAACACAAATATGTTTTATACCAATTAATGCTGCAAGGCTATATAAACCTATTTGAAGAAACCCCATTTTGGTACATTCCAAATGTTACAAATTAGCTAATGATGAAGGTCACATGGGACCCAGCTACCTTTTGGTACTTTGATTAGCAGTAACATTTCAAAGGTTTAAAGAGAACATTTCCTCCCAAAACAGCAATTTCCTCATGTCTGCTATTCAAATGACATTTCCAAAAGCTGATGAACAGAAGAGGCTTTCTTGGACGTAAAAGGTGTTTGGAAACCTATTCCTTCATGGTGTAAAGACACTTTCGAGTCAGGCTATAATGAGGTTTGTCCGATGTGATAAACTTGTTAAATAG